GAAAACAACAATGTATTTATCTATCTCTGAAATTTTCCTCGATTGGGCGACTAGAAATTGTCAAAAGATGGATAGTTACTGGCCCAAAAATAAATCATTTGGCGAGTACATTATTATTCTAAAAATCGTAGTTTACTCCCATAAATTAACCACCCCAACTTCGGAGCACCCATTTTCGGAAATCCTGTACTCTGGGTCACACCGTAAAAACGTGCAAGTGCATCAGAATTGACACAGATAGTCAACATGGCAAACAAGGGTTGGGATTTAAGTAAGTTAACTATGTATTTTTATAAGTCGTAAGTTTTCTTCGCTGTAAGTTGCTATTTTATGTTGTTTTGTTTGCCGTATCACCAGTACTACTGGTTGCCGACCAATTCTCGCCAAAGCTCGTGTATTGTGCGATGTCACGCGAACTATCATGTTTTTTTCACACACAATCCAAAGAAGCTGTTTTTTTAACCATATAGGCAAATTAATTTGAAGACTTAGCTGTCCTGTACGCCGGAGATATCAGGTAATGAACCCTAAGTCGCCCCAAAATCGCCAGCTGATCGTCAGGGGGGTCACTTGACTATTTTTATCTAAATACAAGAGGCCCAAGAGGGCCTGTATCGCTCACCTGAATATTTAAGCAGTCATAGCAAAATGTTCTCATTAAATATTATATTGCACTAAAAATATTTCCCTCGCAAACTTTGTTGGCTCCATCTGTTGAGACAACCAGCAAAATAAGATTCTATGCTTTTTGATTCTTCTTCAGAAGTTGCTTGACATATTTTTCCCTGTGACCTTGTAAGTAGGTTAAAGTCATTATCCTTCTCAAATTGGTTAGCTCTATTCCAAAATGCTACCAGCCAAATCTTATGAATCCATTCCTTTTAGTTCTTGAGAACAAATCCTTTAAAATGTTGTTGACTTCTGTGATTTCTAAATTAGGTTGAGGTCATTTTCATTCGCAAACTTTGGTGAGCTCTATCCCAGGAAGTCACCAGCCAAATACTATAATTTCATGAATTTTAATTCTTCAGAAGTAGTTTGAACCGTTCGACATATTTGAACGCTGTGACCTTGAAAGTCAAGGTCATTTTCAATCGCAAACTTTGTTTGGCTCTTTCCCAGGAAATAAGCAGCCAAATATTAAGGTTCTATACCGTCCAGTTCTTCAGAAGAAGTTGTTCTAAGTGTTAGACATATCTGACTCCTGTGATCTTGAAAGTAGGTCAAGGTCATTTTCATTCGCAAACTTTATTGGGCCCTTTCCTAGGAAATAACTAGCCAAATATTAAGGTTTTATACCGTCCAGTTCTTCAGAAGAAGTTGTTCTAAGCTTTAGACATATCTGACTCCTGTGACCTTGAAAGTAGGTCAAGGTCATTTTCATTTGCAAACTTTGTTGGGCTCCTTCCCAGGAAATAACCAGCCAAATATTAAGGGTTTATACCGTCCAGTTCTTCAGAAGAAGTCGTTTTAAGAGTTTGACATATCTGCCTCATGTGACCTTAAAAACAGTTCAAGGTCATTTCCATTCTCAAACTTTGTTGGGTTCTTTCCAGGAAAGCTACAAGCCAAATATTTAGGTATTATAACTTTCAGTTCTTCAGAAGAAGTCGTTTTAAGCATAAGACATATCTGACTCCTGTGACCTTGAAAGTAGGTTAAGGTCATTTTCGTTTTCAAACTTTGCCGGGCTCTATCCCAGGAAGCCACCAGCCAAATATAAAGATTCTATACCTTTCAGTTCTTCAGAAGAAGTCATTTGAAGTGTTTGAGACATTTGACCCCTGTGACCTTGAAAGAAGGTCAAGTTCATTTTCATCCTCAAACTTTGCCGGGCTCTATCCCAGGAAGTCATCAATCAAATAGAAAGATGCTTTACCGTTCAGTTCTTCAGAAGACGTCATTTGAAGCATTTGACATATTTGACCCCTGTGACCTTGAAAGTAAGTCAAACTAATTTTTCATTCTCAAACTTTGCTGGGCTCTATCCCAGGAAGCCACTAGCCAAATATAAAGATTATATACCTTTCAGTTCTCCAGAATAAGTCGTTTGAAGTGTTTGACACATTTGACCCCTGTGACCTTGAAAGTAAGTCAAGGTCATTTTCATTCTCAAACTTTGTTGGGCTCCATCCCAGGAATCCATCAGCCAAATATGAAGATTCTATACCTTATAGTTCTTCAGAAGAAGTCGTTTTTAAGTTTTTGACATATTTGACCCCTGTGACCTTGAAAGTAAGTCAAGGTCATTTTTATACAACTTTGTCGGGCTCCTACCAACAAAGCTTTCAGTCAAATATCATGACTCTAGGCCTGTCCGTTCTTCAGAAAAAGTTGTTTAAAGGAAAAGTTGCCGGATGGACGGACGACGGACAGGTGAGCTAATAAATAACAACAATGCTTCATCCTGATAATGCAAACAAGAGGCCCAAGTGGGCCTGTATCGCTCACCTGAATATTTAAGCAGTCATAGCAAAATATTCTCATTAAATATAAAATTGCACTAAAAATATACCCCTCACAAACTTTGTTGGCTCCAACTGTTGAAAGTACCAGGAAAATATTATTACAAGATTCTATGCTTCTGATTCTTCAGAAGTTGCTTGACATATTTTTCCCTGTGACCTTGTAAGTAGGTCAATGTAATTTTCCTTCTCAAATTGGTAAGCTCTATTCCAAAAGCTACCAGCCAAATCTTATGAATCCATTCCTTTTAGTTCTTAAGAACAAATCCATTAAAATGTTGTTGACCTCTGTGACCTTGAAAGTAGGTCAAGGTCACTTTCATTCGCAAACTTTGTTGGGCTCTTTCCCAGGAAATAACCAGCCGAATATTAAGGTTTATTAACTTCCAGTTCTTCAGAAGAAATCATTTGAAGTGTTTGACATATCTGCCCCATGTGACCTTAAAAGTAGGTAAAGGTCATTTTCATTCTCAAACTTTGTTGGGCTCTTTCCTAGGAAGCTACAAGCCAAATATAAAGATTCTATACCTTTCAGTTGTTCAGAAGAATTAATTTGAAGCTTTTGAAACATTTGACCCCTGTGACCTTGAAAGTAGAACAAGGTAATTTTCATTCTCAACCTTTGTTGGGCTCCAAATCCAGGAACCAATCAGCCAAATATGAAGATTCTATACCTTTTAGTTTTTCAGAAGAAGTCGTTTAAAGTTTTTGACATATTTGACCCCTGTGACCTTGAAAGTAGATCAAACTAATTTTCTTCCTCAAGCTTTGTTGGGCTCCATCCCAGGAACCAATCAGCCAAATATAAAGATTATATACCCTTCAGTTCTTCAGAAGAAGTCATTTGAAGCTTTTTACACATTTGACTCCTGTGACCTTGAAAGTAGGTCAAGGTAATTTTCATTCTCAAACTTTGTTCGGCTCCATCCCAGGAACCAATCAGCCAAATAGGAAGATTCAATACCTTTTAGTTATTCAGAAGAAGTTGTTTGAAGTTTTTGACATATTTGATCCCTGTGACCTTGAAGGTAGGTCAAACTAATTTTCATTCGCAAACTTTGTTGGGCTCTATCCCAGGAAGCCACCAGCCAAATATAAAGATTCTATACCTTTCAGTTCTTCAGAAGAAGTTGTTTGAAGTGTTTGACACATTTGACCCCTGTGACCTTGAAAGTAGGTCAGTCATTTTCATTCTCAAATTTTGTTAAGCTCCATCACAGGAAGCCATCAGCCAAATATGAAGATTCTATACCTTTTAGTTCTTCAGAAGAAGTCGTTTGAAGTTTTTGACATATTTGACCCCTGTGACCTTTAAAGTAGGTCTAGGTCATTTTCGTTCTCAAACTTTGTTGGGCTCCTACCAACAAAGCTTTCAGCCAAATATCATGACTCTAGGCCTATCCGTTCTTCAGAAGAAGTTGTTTAAAGGAAAAGTTGACGGACGAGGACGGACGGACGGACGGACGGACGGATGGACGCCGGACGGACGCCGGACGCCGCACCACGACATAAGCTCACTTGCCCTTCGGGCAGGTGAGCTAATAACAAAGTCGTCTGCAGTTGTAAATTCCTACCAGGTGAATTCAGTGACAATGAAGACTATGGAAATGAGGGGAGGGGTTTTAGGGTTATGTGTCGGGAGGGTTTGATTGAAGAATAAAGAACATCTATTATTAATAATGCTTTATTGGCATTTTTTATTGCTCAACACTGAAAAAAATCTTAGTAAAATAATTGGGCTACCAATATTCATCTTGGGCCTGTGAAATAATGTTTGTACTCGCCCAATTGTTTTTACTGCATGTCACATACATGGCAACAGTAACTTTTTTGCTGACCATCTGTCTCGTTTACAGGTGGAAATATTCTGGCAACAAGCGCCTCACACTGAATGGCCTCCAATGCCAATTCCAGATCACCTTTTGACAATTTAAGCCGATACTTGTAGAACTTTTGGAAACAGCAACATCCCATAGACAAAGTGTACCTAGTAATAATAGTATCATGATGCTCTAAACAAACTGTTAATACAAAACTGAGTCATCTTTCCCCAAATATGCTCTAGAAAAAAGTTGAATAAAATCCCTCCATTGGTACAGAGGTTGAGATTTTTGAATATTTATCTGATTTCGCCTAATGGCCCCATCCCTCTGCCTTAAGGGGTGGTCACACTCTATGTTTACACAAAACTGAATGGTGCTCTTGAACAAATTTGAATAAATCCCTCTATTCTCCTTTGGGCTAGGTTCACTAACAAAATGTTGTCAAAGTACACGAAACTGCAGAAACGTTGAAATGAAGAACAATTATTTTCATTACAAATACTAAATAGATTGACATTAATTATGCAATGGTATGGAGTAATAATTGTGGAATATATTTGTGTAAGCTTCCAAAATTAACAATCATACATCATGTCTCTATAATCCTGCAATGCACCTTACTTGACTGCAATGCATAATTACTACCACACAAGCTTATTACGCACATGACCAGAGTGTACACCTTCCTCACTAACAAACATATATTACCTACCGGCCCACTTTATCTCCACGACAAGCATACTCCCATTCTGCCTCGGTGGGTAGGCGCTTGGTCATCCATTCACAATAAGCCACAGCATCATTCCAGGATGTGTGCAGCACAGGATGGTCCATGCTGTATAATAATATAAACAATGTTAAAATATTCAGTTTAGTATTTTGTTTCTCCATTATGAGTCTCGAAAGTTAACATGCACAGCAGCAGACCAAGGGAAACCTACATTTCATATTTGAGAAAAATCCCTTCAGTACTTTCTTTAACAAGAGGCCCATGAGCCTTAACAGTCACCTGATATATTTATACAGAGAGTTGATTTTGTTTTTAACACGAACAGAAATATTATTCAGTGACAAAAAACAATAAAACCACCTTATTAAATATCTAGCATACAGATTTAAGACTAAAAAGTATTTGAAACTAGCACCTCTGATTCTAAACAAGGGAAAGGAAGAAATTTTAGCACACTGACTCCTTTGGGCCCCACCCTACAGCCCTTGGGGGTAGGGCTGGCTCAAAATTTTCAAAATATCAAACTGTCAACTCAGGGTTATAATTCAAATCAAGTTATTAACATGTAATATTCAAAGTATCATTTGCCATTATAAACCATAATAAATTTTGCCCCCCCTCTCCTTCCCCAGGGGGTAAACGTGAGACCCTAGGGTCATAAACCTTAAGACCCTTCCATCTATGAAGAACATTTGATTCTACCATATCTGGGTCTTGAGAAGAAATTTTTGAAATTTCAGTAAATTCGACCCTTTTTGGCCCCACCCATCAGCACCTGGGGTCAGTCAGGGCTCATATGTGCATACTATCAAACTGCTACCTAATACTGATAATGCTAACTCAAATTGAATTACTTCCAATGGAAATTAAACAAATGTTGGTCCAAAATGTGATTTCCCTATATAAACTATAGTAAAGTTTACCCCCTCCCCAGGGGGAAACGTGAGACCCCAGGGTCAAGAAATTCACAATTTCGGTAAAGCACCTTAAGACCCTTCCATCTATGAAGAGTATTTGATTCTACCATATCTGGGTCTTGAGAAGAAGATTTTTGAAATTTCAGTCAATTCAACCCTTTTTGGCCCCACCCATCAGCCCCTGGGGGTCAGTCAGGGCTCATAGGTGCATACTATCAAACTGCTACCTAATACTGATAATGCTAACCCAAATTGAATTACTTCCAATGGAAATTAAACAAATGTTGGTCCAAAATGTGATTTCCCTATATAAACTATAGTAAAGTTTACCCCCTCCCCAGGGGGAAACATGATACCCAAGGGTCATGAAATTCCCAATTTTGGTAGAGCACCTTAAGACCCTTCCATCTATGAAGAGTGTTTGATCCTACCATATCTGGGTCTTGAGAAGAAGATTTTTGAAATTTCAGTCAATTCAACCCTTTTTGGCCCCACCCAATAGCCCCTGGGGGTCAGTCAGGGCTCATATGTGCATACCATCAAACTGCTACCCAATACTGATAATGCTAACCTAAATTGAATTACCTCCAATGGCAATTAAACAAATGTTGGTCCAAAATGTGATTTCCCTATATAAACTATAGTAAAGTTTACCCCCTCCCCAGGGGGAAACGTAAGACCCCAGGGTCAAGAAATTCACAATTTTGGTGAAGCACCGTAAGTCCCTTCCATCTATGAAGAGTATTTGATTCTACCATATCTGGGTGTTGAGGAGAAGATTTTTGAAATTTTAGTCAATTCAACCTTTTTTTGGCCACGCCCCTCAGGCCCCTGAAGGCCGGGGACCAAACCGGCAACTATTTTTGTTGACCTTTGGCCATGGAAGATTTGTGCAAAATTTCATTGAAATTGGTTCAGGGGTTTTGGAGAAGAAGTCGTAAATGTCAATTGTTTACGGACGGACTACGGACAAAAGGCGATCGCAACAGGTCATTTGAGACTTTGTCTCAGGTGACCTAAAAAAGCGATAAAGCTGCCTGTCTGACATCTTGGTTTGGTTTTCTGAACAGCCCCAAAATTTGATATGGGGAAGGTTCATGTGAAACTTAATAAGATTTTATCCCTCAATCCTTTCTCCTTTCTGAGATATAGCTGTAACAAACTTTTAATCTGAGGTTTTATAATGCAAAACCAATATTCATGATGTAATACTCATGATGATGTAAGCTCCCCACCCTGTCATGGAAGCACCCATATTCAGGGTCATTGTGGGAACTGGCTTGGACATTAAATGAACAACTTGAAGAACGTTGTCAATGGAACTCCTTGACTAAACGGTTCAGGGGAAACAAAGCTTCTCAAGAGGGGACCCAGTTGGCCAGGATAATTATCGATCATCTATAAACTATTTTATACCACCTACCGGTAGCATGATTAATTAATTATCATGGGTTTTCAGTATGAGAATACCCCAGAAGAAGTTGAGAACAACTTGATTTTCCCATTTCCCAGCATTTGGGAACATATTTTCTCAAAAAATAATGTCTGCTTGCACCAGGTGATGTCTTAAACCGATATCCACACAAAAGTGATCTGTGTAAGATATATAGTCTGTTAAAACAAATCAATATATTGTGAGGATAATAACACCATTTCAAGCGTAAATGTGCATATGGAAAAGCCAATGACGATAGGATTGTTTTAAAAATATTATTTTTTAAGGTTCATTGTATTTTTCCACACAAATCTTCTATTTGTTTACGTTTGTCACAGACTGAGGAATAGCAATCCCTGACCATTGAGCTTAGTAGTCATTTGAAAAACATTAGTTAACTTTTTTAAATGGAGAAATATATAAGGTAGTAATATATATATATATATGATAAATAGTTTCCAGTGTTTGTCCTTCGAAGAATTTCCTCATTTCGCTCGCATGTAAATAAAATTTTGATTTCACCTGCTGTGGCCTTATAAATATACTCACATCTCCTTTGTAGAAGAGTCTTCTCCATACGGATGTTTCCAATCAGCGCCATCTACAGGCACCCACCAGGGAGCACCTTGCACCTGTTAAGTTTGCCTTGATATAATTTACAATGACACAGCAAATCTTGTTAGCCCTTAAACCCTGCATGCTGCTGGCCAAATATCATCTCCCTAGGCATTTTGGTTATTCACAACATTTTTTTTTAAATATTGTAAATTGAAAGTGGGTCAAGGCCATTCATTTGAAAAAAACTTGGTAACCCTTCATCACAGCATGCTTTTGACCAGATCTTATCATTCTGGTCATTCTGATTATTCAAAATAAGTTGTACAAATATTCAAAGAAATATTTGAGCTCTGAGTGCCCTTAAAATTTCTTTGTCCTTAACATGTAGTAGCCATTGCTCATATATCATCACCCTGGGCATATTTTCAAAAGGAGTTGTTTGAAGATTTTTTTTAAAGATATGCCAAAGTGACCTATAAAGTCGGTCAAGGTTCTTCATTTGAACAAACTTTGTAGCCCTTCATCGCATCATTTAACTGACCAGCTATCATCACCCTTGGCCTTTTGATTATTTAGAAGAAGTTGTTTGAATATTTTTAAATATCTGACCCAAGTGACCATGAAAGAGTGTCAAGGTCATACACTTACACAGATTTTATCACCCTTTATCACAGCATGCTACCACAGGGACCTGAGAATTTGTTACAGCTATATTTGGACCTAAACTAAGGTGTTCAGAGTAATTTTACATGTTTTAGGGGTTTAGATTGACTTTCGGTAGAAATGACACCCCCAATGATCATATATACGAGAAGGGCGGAAAGCTTGCGATGTTGAAAAGTCGACACCACCTAACTTACTTGCATCAAAAACAACATTTCTAGTTGATCTACGGGAAAATGCATAGTACCATTGGAAAGATGGATAATTGTTTTTTAAAAACCTCCTATATGCACGTAAAATGTATTCTCCTTCCACAGAAATGATTTCCTCCAAAAACACATGCCATTTCAGATATTCAAAGTTTTTCGCAGTTACCCTGCCACTTTTTTTAATACAAGAGGCCCAGAGGGCCTGTATCGCTCACCTGATTATTTAAGCAGTCATGGCAAAATATTCTCATTAAATATTATCCTGTACTACAAATATTTCACTCATAAACTTTGTCATCTCCATCCCAGGAAAAACCAGCCAAATATTTTAAATCTATATTTAAGATTATTCAAAAGAAGACGTTTAATTGTATAACATATTTGACCCCTGTGACCTTGTAAGTAGGTCAAGGTAATCAAATATGAAGATTCTGTATCTTTTAGTTCTTAAGAAGAAGTCATTTGAAGCATTTGACATAGGAAGCCACCAGCCAAATATGAAGATGCTATACCTTTCAGTTCTTCAGAAGTCGTTTGAAATGTTTAACATATTTGACCACGGTGACTTTGAAAGTAGGTCAAGGTAATTTTCATTCTCAAACTTTGTCTGGCTTTATCCAAGGAAGCCATCAGCCAAATATGAGGTTTCTATATCGTTTAGTTCTTCAGAAGGAGTCATTTTGAGAGTTTGACATATTTGACTGCTGTGACCTTGAAAGTTGGTCAAAGTCATTATCATTCTCAAACTTTGTCAGACTATATCCAAGGAAGCCACCAGCCAAATATGAAGATTCTGTACCTTTTGGTTCTTCAGAAGAAGTTGTTTTAAGTGTTTGACACTTCCAGCCAATCACACCACAGGTCTCGGTACGTGGCTGACGTCAACTTCATTAATATTAAACAAGGAAATTCGTGGAATTTATATCCCCCACTTGAAGGACATATTGTAGGTTAACATTATTGAGGTTAGGTTTAAACATGTGGGTATCGTGCTGTTGAGACATAATGTATAGCTTGAAACTTGAAGAAAGAAAAAAACCTATACCTCCTTGATTATCTGTAAATATGCACAAATCACAACGGTTGGCAAACTTAGCATGAGTTGGATGTGCATAAGGAATTTGGTTGAAACATCTTAACAATATCTACAGCAACAAGTACTAATTGTAATTCGAGACCATTACAGATGTCCCCCAAACTGCCCCCATAGTTGCAATGATGCATCAGAAAAGGATTGCATTGCCATAGTACATCTACATCGTACATACTAAATTTAAGTGAAATTGAGCAATTTCTAAATTGCAACCAATGAGAATCCTCTGTGTAGTTGCTATGGCAACGGAAAGTATGCGATTCAATTTGCAGTCCCCTTATATCCCTATATACTAATTTTCATCCAAATCAAACTATATTTAAATTGCGACCAATAAAGAAGCCTCAGTGTGTTTGCTATGGTAACGAAACGTATGCAGTTGAATTTGCAGTCCCCTTATACCCCTTTACAACGATTTTCATCAAACTCTAACAATATCTGAATTTCCACCAATCACAAGCCTTCTTGTGGTTGATATATGGTTGCTATAGCAACGAAACCTATGCAGTTTAATTCGCAGTCCCCTAATATCCCTATATACCAACTTTCATCAAAAACGAACCAAGTTTGAAGAAAAGGTTAACATTTGTTATAGTTATTGCACAGAAACAAAACCCAGCAGATAATTACGTTTTTCGTTATTCAAGGGTCCATAACTCCGTCAAATGGGGTCCGCTGAAAATGGTCATCGAACTTGGCCGAGCCCTTAAGGCATTTAACCCTGCGATTAAGTTTGAAGAAAATAGGTTCATATTTGTTGTAGTTATTGCATGGAAACGAAGCGTGACAGACAGACAGACCCATTTTAATATCCCCCGTTTCGGTGAAAGCGGGGTATAAAAAAGTGGCAGGCTGACGGCGAAAAACTTTGAAACTTTGAGCTACAGGCAAAATATCAATATTATAACTATAAGTCATTCAAAAGAATTGCATTACGTTTGACCCCTGTGCTTTTGAAAGTACAACAAGGTCATTACGTTGAACAGACTATATAGCCCTTCAAATCAGCATGCAACTTGCCAAATATCAATACCCTAGACCTTTTGTTTATTGAGATAAGGTCATTTAAAGGTTTTTGTATATTTGACCTTGAAAGTGGGTTAATCCAAGACTGCAGTGCAACTTTTATAAAGTGTAAAGCACAATACAAAGGCAACAAATTCAAGTTGTTAGAATGGGAAATATTTGAATAATATTAAACACAATGTGATAGCTTTGAACATTTTATTATTAGTTACCATAATATTTTACTGAGAACAAACTTTTGGTTATGATTTAAACTCACACGTAATACACAAGCACAATATTTTGATTTTCATGTTAATATTAGAAATTTTACAAGATGAGAAATAATCTACGTTTAGAACATGGAAAGGAAACATTGAATACCTTATAAATACAAAAACAATTTACAGTGATTAATTGTTATGTGAAATGCAAGACACTATTTGCTGTTTTGAAAACAGCAAAATTATGATGAGGACTGTCTGCTCATTTACCAAAAAACAACATTTATAAATCTTCTGTACAATATCTACTGTATAGACTGCAAAAGTCTTTAATGAAAAAAGAGGAGGTTACAGTCCTTTACGAACTGGCAAGTGACCCACTTTATTCAATACTTACCTCATTATTTATTCATTTGTACAAATTCACATACATGGTGGCATTATGGTACAGACAAAAAGTATTTTTCACTCCAAGACATCTCTATTTTCATCATAACATTATATTTGTTTGTCATGCTATAGAATCACCGTTATAAAATTTAATAAACCAGTATGTACTACACAAACGATAGGATGTGAAATGAATGATGTTAGTTAAGATGAGAAAGATTTCAACACACAACTAATTCAATTATACCAGGCATTAATAATAATAATAATGATTCAAGGTTTATCAAAACCTAGTTCGTAGGTCGTCTCAAAGCGGTTCACAAATTATTATCCGTGGTTATAGGGCCATTTCGGCGCCAACAGCTAGCATTCAACAATTCTAGTACTGCCCAACCACGTACTCATTTACAGCTGAGTAGACTGGAACAAGCAGAGTTAAAGTGTCTTGCTCAAAGATACAACACAGTGCCGTGCCGTGACTCGAACATGCAACCCCTCGGTCACGAGCCCGGCATCCTACCACTAGACTATACTGTGCCTCCATATTCAATGATTCCTATATAAAGATGGAAATTTACAGTGGTATGTTTGATATAAAACAGGCACGTTTATTTGCCAAAAAAAAGGTTGAAGATCAAAGATTTGGATATTATATGACATGATAAACAAGATATCCATTTAGGGTAAATGTTTAGACTTCATAAATATTTACCAAGCTGGTGCAGATGTTAATGTCAAAGATCTTTTGCATCAATTTACAAAAGTGTTTGCAATGCATATGCATAAATACATATCAATATAAGTAAGGTATGGGTTGTGTCATAGTAGATTTTTGCTGGCAGCACCTCAAAACTCTGGAGAATTCTATGATTTCATATACATGGTAGAAGTGTGCTCCAGCCCATCATCAGACAGTTTGTTTGTATATCTTAACATAAGATTGTTTAAAAATAATTTTATTATGCAACATACTTAAATAAGGAAAGATATAAGTTTGAACACTAAACCGTATCAACCACGATACATTCTGCACAACTGTGCGACAGAATATATTGCACAGATATATGTGCACACAATTATCTCACAGTTTTTCATAGTGCATTGTGTGCACACCGCAAATCATGTAATATTGTGCGATTCCCACAACTGTATCATCGGTCTTAGGCCTATTGGTTATTGAAAAAACATGTTGAAGCTAGAGGGACATAAGCATAAGCAGTCACTTTGCCCTTGATAGACTTCCATAAACCATGATACCAGCCAAATATCATCTAACTTCTAAGCCTTTCAGTTATTCAGTTGTTTAAAAAAGATTAAGAAAATTGACCCCTGTGACCCTGAATATAGGTAAAGGTCATCCATTTGAACAGACTTGGTAACCTTTTCCCAGCATGCTACTGGCCAAATATTATCACTAGCCATTTTGGTTATTCAGAAGAGGTCAATTTAAAGTTTTTAACATATGAACATGTGACCCCTGTGACCTTGAATATAGGTCAGGGTCATTTAGTTTAACAGACTTGGTAGCCCTTCATCTTAATTACTCACGGACCAAATATAATTACCAAAGACCTTTTTGTTATTCCCCAAGAAGTTGTTCGAATATTTCAACATATTTGATCTATGTGACCATGAATATGGGCGAAGGTAATTCATATAAGGCCAAAAAAAAAAGGTGTCTGTTGAAGGTTCCCGACCGACCCTAGCTTTTTAACCAACCCCCCCCCCCCCCCCCCCCCCCCCCTGACGCAAAACTTTTTGATGAAAAAAAAAGAAAAATAAATAAAAAATGTTTTTTTTTAAAAATCTGCTTTCAAAATGGCTTCTAGCTCCGTGTTGGCGCTAAATGTCATCATATGGAGCACAATTTGCCTCCAAATGAACCTTGCTTATGTAATTCTTTGTTTTACATACAATAGTAGGGTCATAATCACATGACCAAAAATATACAACAACAAGGTTACCGCGAGCGGTATATAATACGCCCGTTACACATTGAATGAGCAGTTGTTTGTATGATTGAAATATATATGAAGTATTTGTGAGTAATTGATATTAAAAGAGAAATCATTCAACATAACTGGTAGATCAATGAGTGCAATACAACATCATGGAACGCATGCATCGCATTACTGAAACCAAGGGGAATAACTCCAATAATTTCATAAAAAAAGCGGACATTGTTCGTGTGCCCGTTGTACGGCACTCTAGTTATTGAGCGGATATCCACAAATTATGGTCCGATAATGGCGGTTATCGAACTTGTCTGAGCTTTCACCTTGTTGTGAAGTTTGAAGTTAATCTGTTAATAATTACTCGAGATATCGAGCGGACACTGTTTCGGCAAGT